AACCCTGTCTCAATGACTATTCACGAAAGACTCGGTCATGAGTCGAACTCAAACCCTATCTAGGATCGAGTCGCGAGTAAGGCTAAGAGCCGTGTATTGCAATGGAGTAGAAGAATGAAGCAAGTGCAACCAGTCGTGTCTTTCTCCATTCTGGCAGGAATGTGATGTTTTGGTGATTACCAAGCCAGTTCCATGCTCTCCACTGAGGAGTTTCACTGCCATTATTGAATCTAGCCAATGTTTGACTGGGTAGATTATCCAACAGCAAGTCCAGACAGAACCCCACTGGGTGCAGATGATGGCACTTCAGAGGGTTCCATGGAGCCATAGACTGTTGGAGCCTCAGTTGACTCGATGATAACCACATCTGGTTTTTTGTTCTTTTGGGTTCCCACCAGGGCTTCCACAACAATGGCAGCAACCAGCAGCAACCAAAGAACTGCTGCAAAGAAAGCTATCGGTTGCTACTTCCTTTGCAGTCCTCGCCGCTGGATGCTTTCCAGATCAACAGGGTTGGCATGCATCAAATCAGCTGTATTATCCTCTACGGCATTCGCCTGTACCAACCCTTCATTTGTGGATATCTGTGCTGCAGTTCCAACACTGGAATCTTCTGGGCCACTATCAATGCCAGAATGAGCACCAAGAAGGTCATAGTTGAAGTCCAGGTTTCGTTGCATCTGTTTTCCTGGTGCACCCAGGAATGCACCTGGCTGATATTGCAGGCATATCTGGGTCGTTCGGTGCAAAACAGGTTGTGGGACAGGCTCTACTGCTGCGGGGGCCTCTGCCGTATTTTCTGGTACACTATCTTGTTGTGCACTCACGAGAACAGCATTTTGTGCATTGGATGGAACATCATCATTTGCGTTGACAGTAGCTGCATTGGCAAATTTTTCCATTTTGGCAGCTTCATTGATTTCCACTGCCATCTGCATGAGGTGGTTGCTGGCAGTATTTGGTTTTTCTTGACCGAGATCTTCTTTGGCATTGAGACGTTCCGCGACAGCCAAACTAGTCTGATACGCCACAGGTTCCATCATTTCTTTTTCTCTGGACCCACTTATTTCTTGACTGAGATCTTGTTTTACATTCACATCTCTGGTCATGGCTGTGTACCAATCAAACTGTGCAGCTTCCAAAGAGGGCAAATTGGCAAGAATATCCAAGACAACGGTGTCCATTTCTTCTTCTGCTCTGTCCCCCATTAAATTGGTCGCTTTTTCTTCTCCTTCTAGACGGCCTTGCCTGGCCTGGCCTTCGAAAGTGGCAGTGTTAGCAGCACAGAATTCCTTCAATTGGAATTGTGCAGCTTCCGCTTAGGCTCGCTTCTCAAGAACATCCCGTCAAACTGCGTGAAACACTGCGTGAAACTAACGGCTAGTTTCACCCATGGCCACTGGTGATTCAAGTCCCATTTCCACGCCCTGCGGGTGGAGATGTGGAGATACATACATGTCAAAACGTAATTTTGCTATTTTTCTACTATTGGCTTGGCTAGTAGTAGCACATAGATCTACCAGAGATACCCAGACTCCAGCTAGTCGGCGAGTCGGCACTGCATACCTAGCTAGCAAATTTCATACCTGGAACGTCTACACTTTACTGACTTTTGGCGATTTTACCAGAAAAATCTCAACATGAATTGATTATTACTCAAATCGCTCATGATGAATTCATCATCAAGTTCAATACTTTCATCATTAATTCATCATGAATGTTTAAATTCGTCACTAATTCAATTATTTTCATCAAAATTCATCACATTGCAGCACAAATGTACGCTGTATTTTCAATAAATTTCATCACGGATTCATGATGAATTGATGATGAATTCAAAGTTTCATGATGAATTCATCACCAATGTAATTACTTTCATCATTAATTCATGATGATTGGTTTAATTCATCACCAATTCATCAAGTTTTAGAAAATTCATCATAATTCATCATAGGGGAGACGTTCCTGGTAGCTAGCTGGTAGCTAGTAGGCGAGTCCCAATTGCAGCATCCGTCAGCTGTGAATAGAATGGAGCGAAGTATGGCAAAAGCATGTGTTCAGTGAGGAGGACAAGCAAGATGGGATGGGGCTTGAAGAATCTCGCACCATTCCTTAGCATTCTCGGATTGGAATTCAGAGTTTGAGTGCAAGCAGAGGAGCAACTTGTCCATCGGACCGCTAGATCACCGCACACTGCAGTCGGCCTCGAAGGTGCATGTACATGTACATGCATTTTCAACCACACCCAGCCGGTGGTTACGTGGTTACCAACAATTGCAAGGTTGGCTGCTGCTTTCGTGGTGGTACACGAAAAACAAACAATGCCCTCATCAGCTTCACTCAAGTTGCTTTTTCCGAGTTGCTCACCGCTGCTCGCGATAGCAGCGATTGCATCTTACCCGAACCGGCACCCGGAAGGATGTGATGGAACGATGGAACCTTATCCCCGGCAGGTGTTCGTTTCTTGGACGTTTTGAGAGACTTTGGTTGTAGTAGACTAGCTAGTACCGGTAGACTAGCTACCGAATTTCGCTTGATCAGCCATCGATCATTCGATTCGTTCACACATCGCATACATGTAGTTTATTCACTTCTTCCCGGCAGGTCCTCCGAAGAACTGGGCCTTGCTGTTTCCTATTGCTGCACTGGCCACTGGCCACTGGCAACTTACTTGTTTATTGCGTGCGTGCTACTACGAGTAGCCAGATCTGAAGCATCAGCCAGAAAGGCCAAACTTCACGCATATGGTTCTACTACTACTAGTAGCAGCTTGTTGCCAGTCAGAGAGTGACAGGAAGTGAGTTAGTACCATGTGCAACTATAGCCGAACTTGCGTTTCAGGCTTCCCCTGATGTCCCCACTGCGCGTAGTTCTTCCTGCTAATGACTAGAGCTAGAGTAACCACATGTCTGCTCGAGTAAGCCAAGAAAGCAAGCGTTGACAAGGTCCCATTCCGGGCCATCATACATCATACTGCTTGCCAGCTCTGCTTGCCAGCCTTCGTAAGAGTGCATGCATGGACGTGACAGCTATCAGCTACCGTCCCGGTACTGGTACTAGCTAGCTATAGCTAGCTAGAGCTACAGTAGTATCCGTTGCTTGATGGCAGGGACAGGACTGAGTTGCTGAGGGAGAGGCGGGAACGTACCGGTAGCCCCAGCAGGAACGACGATCGTGAAGGTCCACACAAAGATCCAACAAGCAATAGAAAAGCCCGGGATCAGCTGGCTACTGTAAAGTTACAATGATAGGCCCCCTACTTCTTGGTCTTTTAAGCCTCGCACGTGTCACTCACTTTTGTTTGACCACTGTTCTATTGCTGCTCTATCTTGTGTTAACGTTAAGTCTTATTCTTCGCAAAAGGAATATTAAAATTGTCCGAAGATTCATTTCATACTCTGGAGTATTGAACACTTATGCATACTCGAGCGATACGAGTGACTCGAAAGCCCACTCACAGAGTCGAGTCTCATGTCTCATAGCTACTGTACTCAGTATCGACGTAATACTGTACCATACCGGGTATCGAATGTAAAGAATCTTATGAATTCAATCTTACACTTCTCTTACTACGGTGTATTTAAAGTTTGGACTCCCCTGAACAAGTCCTGAACAAGTCCTGAACACCAAGACGATGAGCATCCAAATTCTCCGCAAGTCATCGGAGAAATATGCGTAAATGCTTTAACGAGCCGATCCATTCTGACAATGGTCAAAGTCTCCGAATGGTGTCCATCATGTTCTCCACCAGTTCACTTCTTGTTATAACCATAAACAAGCGACGAACAGAGACAATTGGAAATTTCATAAAGAACACACAATGGTCAAATCTTGAACGATTGTTGTAAGTTTGGATGTCAGTTGCTCCGGCCTTCAGCTTAGGCATTGGAATATAAATAGAACATCCACGTAAACCCGTGCACTATATTCAATATCATCGGCGCGATTGAAGCTTTGGTGTTTTGTAACGTCCGGTAGCTAAACAGTGCTGAAGCAGGTGCTTTGGACAAAGTTTTCATCTCGGCGAATTAGGGTAGCATTCGGTAGCCACATTCTCCCAAGATCTGACTTGGATCCTGCTGGATCGTTGGATGTTGGATCAGCGCTTGGCTATTACACATCGCTGTACCACCAGCCACCTGGTAGCCACATCTCCAGGGAGGTGAAGAAAATTAATGCCATCCATGATTGCCAGTGCTTTCCGCCGTCATACAATGTCATGTAGAGCCAGTGCTAAACAATGGCATCCGCTGATTTGCGAAACAGTTGGTTGTGTTTTTCACCACTGCTTACAATGTTTACCAGTGCCCTGTCAAAAAAGACAGTGGTTGACAGTGCCACTGTTTATCACTGCAAAGCTGTGTCAACCACCGTCTTGGTCATGGCTTATCTTGGTTGGCATGGGACATGGGATGGAACTAAATTTCTTCACCCCCCAGAGGAGTACTGCAGTAGTTACTACGGTATAGTTAGCTGCGGAAGTAAGTTAGAGCGCTACCGGTAGTTACTACTGATGAGTACACGTAGACATTTGCATAGTTCGATAGCTGTTCGCTACCGTATCTTATCTTGTCCCCACCCAGTTTCTCCGTGACAAGACTGTGCAAAGGTTACGGTAGCGATAGGTAAGCTACGTAGCTAGCTACTAGGTGTACTGTAGTGGTAATTGCTTGGAGAACTGCCCAACCTGCCCGCTGGTCAAAATGCTTTGCTATGGAAGGTCAGTAGTGGATTCAGAGGATCGCGCATTTACTGTCGATGTTTCTGTACAATACCGTATGTCTCTACGAGAACTGGTACTAATAAGATCCATGCAATCCTTGGTTCTGTTGCCACTTTGCCACCTCTGTTCTCTGCCAACACATTCCTCCTCTGCTGGTTCCTCCGGTTCATTTCACACCTTTGGCTTCCTTCACAAACTCTGCTCACACTTTGCAATCACAAAACTCAAAACCGCTCTGATCCTAAAGCATAACATTCATTCTACTATTACTACCACCATGTCTTCCAAAATCGTCCTCGAAATGAACACCAAGGCTGTTTCCTACTTGGCCCAAGGAGAACACGAATGTTCTCACTTTACCCTTCAAAAGGCTCTCGAAGGTTTCCGCAACGTCCTGAACCAGCAACCAAGCGAAGAAGCCCCCATGATGTTGGATGTGGATGAAGATGAGATCGACGGCACTGTGCTGCACACAATCCCCATTCATGCCGCTCAACACAAGACTGTTGCCCCCGACCACAGCTTTGTCACGGTCTACCGTCACGCCTTTGTCCTGACATCCGATCAAGAACCCCTCTTTACCGAAAACGAACACACCGTCCCCAGTGTCTTGCTCTATAACATGGGATTGAGCCATCATATTCAAGCCATTGCTACTGGGCAATCGGCCATCTTCCGCAAAGCAATGCAACTCTACACCATGTCCTTTACCATGCTCGAAAACGCTTCCGACATTCTCAACGACATGGACATCATGGTTCTCTTGGCACTCTCCAATAACATGAGCGTCATCTCCGGTTCCGAATTCTACGATCGCCCTTCTGCTGAAAGTTCCAGACTCATGATGGAACGCATCCTCTCTTCCACAGACTGCTTGGAAAGCCTGGAAGACGAAGACATTGAGTTCTTCTCCCTCAACTTGATGTTCTTGTCCGAATACCAAAAACATGCTCTGGCGGCAGCAGCCTAAGCAGCATCATTTCTGTTATCTATCTATCCTCTCTCCTACTACTACACTGTAAATTCCTGACCAACTAATATAGACTTCCTGTATCCCACCTTCCAAATTGACTTTTTTTGTACGGCGCACCTCTTTAGATAGCTAGCCAGTGACTGAAAACGAGCGTACCATACTGGTATGGTAGTTAGCATGGTTCTTGCTGGTCAACCCGGCCTGTCAGTGTTGCGCATCAAACCAGTGTGGTGCTACGAGCTACCTAAGCACAGCCTGCGCAGCATTGGCTCCCTACCGATACGTCGTACCACCTAGTGGTCTCCATTCGGGCTTTGCTTCGGCGCTGCGAGTATTTAGCTGCCATCGCTTTCGAGCATAGCGGCTTTGCTCCATCAACAACTAACTGAACTCCAAACCAACTGCTGCACCTGGAATGTTCAGTCCCCCGGTAATCTAGATATCACACCGAGTTACCGTAATGCAGGCGCCATCTTATTGCATCTGCTGATGCTGTCTGCATTTATTGCAAGGCTTCGCATGCAAGTAGATAGTTGTGGTGGCCGCATGCCAGCCGTTCCTGAGCATCCGGGCAGAATTCGACAGTACTTTTGAGATGATGCAGAGTGACAGACATCTCAACCTCAGCCAGCTGACCATTCTGGCTAGCTACTATCTCTAGCCAGAGACCCAGTTTTCAGAGAAAGCCATACGACTGCACCGTAGTTTTCTAGTTTTCAATATTACGTTGTGGCAGCATCTGACTAGACCAAGCTAGATATCAGTTTGACAACAAGGTAACCAGCTCGATTGCCAGATTGCTGTACATCGTCTGCCTCCACAACTTTGTCAGTGGAATGGCAGCACTTCTACTAGCTAGCTACTAGGCAAGGTGTGGAGTAATCCGACGAGCTTGTGCCTAATTCGAAAGAAGAGTGCTTGTGAGTTTCGACCGAGTGGACTACAGGGACACACACAGCCACACCGGCAGTCTTCACAGGTCATTTCCGATCAGACGCATGCGTTTTGAACTGTTCCAACCCTCTGGCCACTCTAGCTAGCTAGGCTAGTCGCAATAATTGCAAACAATGTGCCTTTCTTATCATCATCCTATGAAGCAAGTAATGACATGTTATAGTAGCCATGAATTACGCCGAATTCCTGCTAAGTAGCTGGCAAGAACCACCCAGTTCCAAGAAACGAATAACCTGTCGATCCCTGCTCTTCTAGTTTCAGTGGATGGTAGGTATTTCGCGGGCTATCAATGCAAAGTATCAGCCAGCTCCCTCTCAATCAGCCGCGGTTGATTGGTCAACTGAAGCAGAGACTGAGAAGCAAGCAGTAAGGAAGGAAGAAGATCCTGTCGTCAAAGTGGGACTTTCTGGCCACAAGCAATCCCAGCCAGGGATCTGCTGTTGAAAGGAACCAATTCACATCCTGCTTGATGCAGGAAAAAGGGAGGTAAACGGTATCCTAGATCTGGCAACCGCTAGATTGCTTACGGAGAAGCAGATATGCTCTATTATCTATGTTAAATGGCAACCATGCCTCAGCTCTCCCCGTTGTTCATCTTTTCCCAAACTGACCTCGGAATGATGTACAGACAAGTCGACTCGGCATAGATCACACTGCCATCCAACGAGGTGACTTCACCCTTAAAGTATAGCTTGCGGTTTTCTCTTCGCTCCAACTCTACTTGAATCTTGACACTGGTTCCTGCCGGAGTGGGTGCTCTGAAATTTAGATTCAGATTCGCTGTCACTGCATAGCGGACACCAAGGGCTCCAAACGAAAAGCCAAAAACATCATCCAAAACCAAAGCCAAGATCCCTCCATGGACAACCTTGGGGTGCCCGTCAAGTGAGTCTCCAAAGTCTACCAATGCAGTTACAACATGAAGATCCTTGGCGTCCATGGAGGGTGCTGCATTCTTCTTCTTATAGATCTCATATCGTTCAATTTTGCCTGGTTGTAGCAGTTGACCCACGGCGTGGCTGTTCAAATCCATTCGGGAGGGAGGATTCATTAGCTCGTATTCGTTGGAAGCATTGAGTTCTTCTGACAGCACCGACGACGGGCTCGCCAAGCTTTCGCCATTCTTTTGATGCGCCGCTGCCTCGCAGTATACTCTACTAGCTGTCAGCGGTGCATACACGGGCCCATTCCAACGGCGCGCTTCCTCTTTTCTTCCCGTAGTGGCAGATGGCGATGGAAAGGCTACGGTGGAGGCAGTGCCAAGGGCAAACGCCGTTGCCAAGGCAAATCCAACTTTGGCCATACCGGAAGAGCTTCCTGAGGATATCATCGGTCGTAACTTGTTCCAAAGAGACATGGCTGTGCTGTTGCAGTTCTGTGTGCTATTATTAAATAGAGGGATATGAACAGGGCCGTCAGGAGCTGTGAAATCGTCGACCGTCGACGACAATGTAACGGCGCCATGGTCGAGATTTTGTGGACTGACGTCATTCCCGAGTTACTCGTGAGTAACCTCTGCTGCCAATTGGATTGCGTCGCGGCTTGGTTGCCTCGAGACATTGTGGCATTACCATTATGGTACCACCGGAAAGTCCAGCAAACAGCCCACTGGAGGAATTATAGTGAGATGTTGGCGCTTGGAACCACAAGGTAGCTGGCTACCTGGCGACGCAAGAAATCCAATGGGACTTCGATGAGGTAGCTTTGGACATACACTTACCTTGTTGAGTCACGTCTATCAGAAGCCCTCCTTTGGTTCCTTTTTTGTGCCCAAGTTTGTCTATGCAACCACAGGGCCAGCTGGAAGAAGCAAGCGCCTAGAGACTAGATGGAATACATGTATGGATTTATTGGGCCTGGAAAGCCGATATCCAATGTGTACCTGAATTTTCCAGAATCCTCGACTCGAATTCCAGTCCAACTTGCACCAAAGAACCAAGACGAAACATAATGGTGGGGTATAGAAATAAAAACATCTTAGCGTTACATCTATTTTACATAGGCATATTCATCAACTCCTTCCATTTATTCGGCCCTGTCCTTGGTGGTTTGTCGAGGCCTGGGCAGCCAAATCGTTTGGCTCTGGCAATAGCATGAAGTAGTTGATGTAGACCCCAATTTTTCTCTGCCAATAAACCAACAACAATCTGACGCTTTCAGATCCAATTATCGAAAATGACGACGATTGTTGCTGTAGCTGTAGCTCACTGCCATGTTGAGTCGTTTCCGAAACTCGGCATCTCGACGCTGCGCTTCAATCAGACGCTGCATAAAGGAATTGCCTGCAGCCGTGGGAATGGACGTTGCCAAAAGTGGTGGTGGTGGTGGTGTCGTGTCAGGAGACGGTTTTCGACGGTACCAGGGGACATGGTCGCCTTCTGCAGATTGCTTCTCTGTCACCGAATACCCGTGATCCTTTTTCCAGATGAGAATCTCTTGGCGAAGCTCTTTGTTTTGGACGAGTTCCCATGACCGTAGAGGCCTTCGAGTGAACGGGTTTGTTTGCTTGCCACGGTCCAACCATTCCATAATAGTAGCACTCTCAAAGGAATGCCCACTGGAGGGATCCGTCACCGGATGGCTCATGATCTGCAGCGAGATGGGGCACAAATACGCGGAGGGGACTTCTTCCTCATCTTCTGCCTCAGGAATCGACAGGGACGCTGCCTTCGTGGGGCTTGCCATGGTTACATACACTTGCAATCGGAAGTACACACCAAGACTTGGAGAGCAAAGCAAAAGGGAAACACTCCACAATGGACGGCTTCTTGTCGATTGCAGCCAGCCTGTGAGGAAGCTTTGACACTACTACATGTAGTACTGGTCGGTACCTGGTACCAGTACGCTGTACCGGTACTCCGAAGAGTAGAGAGGCACGAGTTCTGAAGCCGTACTTATTTAAAGACCACTTTCCGATCGACTGAAGATGCCTGTCACTCCCGCGACAAGGTTCCGGTACCAGTACCTGGTGGCGTACCAAAAGCTTTTACAGCAACGCACGAAATCAGTTTCGTCGCTTCACCCCAACAACCCTGCAGCATGCCATACGGTAGGCAATACTGGCACCGTTTTAGCTACCCAGAGCAAAGGTCCAATGCAATCGACCTCCCTTCGATATGCCACGGCTGGGCTGGACGCGCGTGTGCACGGTGTACCGGTACAGCTGTACCAGGTGAACACGTTTAAACGCTTCGAAACTTCTACGACTGTACCGATACCGGTAGCACATTGATGACTTTGGAGGGACGTCCAAGTTTGAGGGAAACGAACAGCAACAAGTTCGTTGCACGGTACTTCGATCGCCATCGCAAGAATCACGGAAAGTCGCCCTCCAACTCTGATCAGTGATTCGCTCATAATCTCGGGAAGTCGAAAAAGCGAAAAGCACACGATGAAACTAGTCCACCAGGAAATGGCCAATGGCAACGGGATCAAGAGCATGGCCCTGCATGTCGATGAAAGCTACACCAGGCTCCAAGACTACGCCAAGCAAACAAATGCCCCGGAAAGTGATCTTTCTCCAGAATGGCTCAAGGCTGCATTCTGGGACGCCTTGATGAAGAAGGAAGATTCTTGCTTTAAAAAGCTATCCAAGCTTGGTCCCACCATGACCCACGTCTTTGTGCAAGTCATTGAGGAGCTTATCGCCTACCACAAGGCTGCTGGAAAGTTTGGATGGCTGGAGGAGCAACAGTATGCTGTCAACCACTTGAAGGCGATTGTCAAACGACTGGTGGGGCACTTTCTCGACAAGGCGCGTGACCTGGAGGGTGGCTACTCGTCTTGGGGCAAGGACTTGCTAGCCTCCCAGGATGGCTTCTCGTTGGGTTGCACTCCTGTTACGGCACCAGCCACGGGCTCTCCATCCCACCAGATGTCTACACGTGAAGTGCTTGTGGCATTTTACAAGAAACACAACCCAAGTCAGCTAAGCAAAGTTGATAGGATCTTGTCCGCATACCAGGACAAAGAAAAGGCGCTCTTTCAAAATTTGGAACGCAAGTACAATGTGGATATTGCTTGTATTCTGGACCATGCTGACAGCAGCGGCGGGTCGCTTGGTGGTGTCGGAACAATGCGAGTGCCCTATCAACCCACGCCCGAACAGGTTGGTATAACCACGGAAGCCATTCAATCAATCTCCGCCATGGCGGCATATGAAAACAAGTCAGCGGAAGAGCTCAGAGTTCTGGATTATGCCATGGGAAACCTGGGATGTGCAAGTGCAAGTTCTGCAGCTGTATCGGTCACTTGTGGAAAGGGACCCTGGCAGTCGTTGTCGCCTTATGATTGGATCCAAATTTGGCAGTCTTTCCTTCTTCTGGCGTATGACAAGCACTTTTGTATGTCGTTTGCAGTGGAAAAGCTTGTGATGGAACAAGAGCGTCACTCGGCCCAATTGGCTTGGCAAGAGTTGGCAGGAGCGAAAGTCATGATTCATGGCCATAGCAGCACAGCCCTGGACTGCAGCGATGCCGTCAAGCTTGCCTTTTGCAGCCAAAAAGGCTGTCTTGTTCCCGTGCATCCTCAGCACTACGCCAAGATGTCCCACCTTGCCCTTGTGGGCTCGTTGGAGAATCCTACACACATTGGCCATTCAGTTTTCAAGGCTTGCGAGTTTCTAGGTAGCCTATAGAGCGAACGATGGCAACAAATCCTGCTGATGTCGACGGTAACGTTGAAGAGACTTCGTCCTTGACTAAGCCTGGTAATCATACTTTATTTGCGATATGGTAAAAGGATATAATCAACAACTATAGAAATCAACGCTGCCACTAGCTGGCACCACGACATTGCACTACTAGCTAGTACACTGGTACACTGGCCGGGTGCTGTATTGAAAAGAGAAGAAGGCTTTGGCTTTGCAGATCATTTGAAACAACATGTAGGTTGTTAATTGTTAAGGCTTTAGATCTAAGCAATAAACCTTTGGAATGAGCCTCTACTGAGCTCGTGTACCGTACCAGTACCATACCGACTCATTGAAAGAGTCTGGTATTGTAATTGGGGAGCGAAATAGATTGACGAAAAGATGAAAAAACACAAAAACAAATGTTACAGCCCCATGCCCCTTGTTGTGCTGCATGGGGCTGTATCATTTGTTTTTTGATTTTATCACCTTGCCGTGGAGAAAAAGCACTCCCCGATGAGCTATGTGGCCTGTTTGAGCGATTTTCAATTTCGAAACGTGCAAATTCTCATTCGTGTATACCCATTCTTTCAGTCATGCCCTCTAAGTCATTCAGTCATTTCGTTAAATATTTCCATTAAGCTGCCAAAAACCTTCACTTGTGGGTATATGGTCCGTATTATCTGTTAATGCTCTACTTTCAAATGGCAACTATAGGTTTAACACTCATCTCAAACAGATAACAGAAAGAAATAATGGCTAGGTCAACTTTGAATTTCTCATTACCCATACCTTTCAATGCGTCCGTACTGTACATGTACCACCATATCCAAACAAGCGGCACTCTCGGATCTCTCAGATAACAAACAGCAATACATGTAAGTCTCACAGCTGCAGTTTCCATTGCATGTATCTCTTCCACTCTCTTCAGAACTGAATGATTCAATCACTCTTGGTGCATCTATCTAGCTAGTAGCTACGGCGTCTTGGTCTTCGGGGCCACTGTACTGTAGTGCTCCAACATGTCAAGACGGGCCTTGACGACGTCAGCCATGGAATACAAACCATTGTACTGGACTCCATATTCTTGGCAGACTTGACGGACCACAGGAGCAATCTCAGGGTAGTACAAATAGCAAACCCCGGGGAAAAGAGTATGCTCCAGATGAAAGGACAAGGTAGCTGGGGTGCAGCCTTTTGGATTGCCCCACAAAACAGGGAGCATGACCAAATCCATTCCTTGGGGCCACCAAGAGGAACAAGATTGGGCATTGTGCCGCCCCCAATCTTTGTTGATCATTGATTCTGTAGCAAAATAGTTCCACTTGTGTTGGGCAAAAAACGCATGACTGCCCAAAAATCCGAAGTATTCCTTGCAAACGGCAATGGCCAGAAAGATGTTGATGGCATGTGGGTGGGAACTGCAGGGAAATGCCAAGTAGCACCAGCTGGCTGGGATGCTCGTAAGAATGGCACACACAAGGCCAAGGGCCCGTCGGTATTCACCCTGGGGGAGCAGCCGTCGAACAATGTAGACAAGTCGAAAGCAGCTGGTGGCTATCAAAGTGGATTCAACCACTTCCCCAAGGGTATCATAGAGGACGCGAACCCAAAAGTTTGCCTGTATGGAATGCCAAAGACGAAATGGCTGAGCCTCCGACAAGCGCAAGAGTTTCATGAAGGAGATGGTTAAGAAATCGGTATCATGTTGGATTTCTCCGCCCTGGGTGTGGTGGATGATGGCATGCTCACCCAAACGACCAATGTGTCCGTACTTGTATTCATCTCGGGAGACACTGAGGGGTTTGTTGATCTTCTTGTATTGGTTTTTGCTGGGGTTTGGCAAAGCCCAGCTTGGGAGACCACCCATGCAGAGTCCCAAGAACTCTGCCCATGAAGTAGACTTATCGGACTTGAAGAGTTGCATGTGACCATTGGCGTGGCACTGTCCTCCTACACGCATAAAGTTCATTTGAGGGATTGCGAGATGAATGACAATCAACAGCCAAAGGGGCGTCGTGGCGGGATTGAGGAAAAAGGCTGCCACGACGAGACTCATCTTGATGGCCATATCGAGGAAAAAGAGAAACTTGGCAGCTGCTGGACGACGGGGTTTGTCCTTGAGTGTTTCACGAACTTGTTTGGCGCAGGCGCGATAAAAGTCGCCCATTTCGATGCGGGCGCCTCCCTTCAACACGCCAATCTTACGTCGTTGCAAGACCGCTTGGGCTTTTTCCGGCCCCATAAGGTGATAGGTATGAAAGAGAACCGAGCAATCAGCCCCCGCAGCACCCATAATGATGGAACCGCCAGGGTGATGCATTCCCGTCAAATCGTACACCACACCATCCACCACAGTCCAAAAGTCATGCACCGTGTTGTGCTGTTCCACATCTTGAATGGAGTACTCAATCTCCTTTTCTTCAAGGAGTGTACTTGTACCGGTAGATCCACCATTCTTCGAAGTCATGGTCGTTGCACGGTACTGTACTATTTTAATACTATGCTCGTTGGCTCGCTGGGGTATCCGTATTGGCTGCCCTGTTGTGAATATAATGAGAGCACCGTGCCAGGCTATTGCATGGGGGTAATCCACCCCCAACGCCCTCTAGAGTCTACGGTGGAAGAAAATTGCAGGTCGCGATCCTTGTGGTGCGACCTATACAGGAACACTACTAGCTAGTACCATGGTATACAGGAACACGTCCGCTCCGGTTTAGGGGGCGATATCGAACCGCAACTGCCGGGAGAGCCATATGATACAAGGAAAGAGCCATATCCGCGTCTCGCACTAGATAGCTACATGCTGTAGCATCCAGGTCTCCCTATACAGTAAGCGATCGGGCTTCGTTTTTTTGGTCGAATCGCGTACTCGAGTAGCCGTTACCGGTACGGTCTAGCAAGTGTAAAGTCTACGTCAAGTTCACGACTATGCTCCAGTTTTCTTTTGTTCGACGAAGAATCGTGTAGCCTCTACCGGTACGGTAGCTAGTAGAAGTCTAGGTCAAGTTGAATCATTTGTGAGCTTGGGATGGATGAGTGATTTACTACTGTAGCGCTTCAATCAAAAATTCTTTGAACGTGCGAAGGCGATGCCACTCCTTGCTCCCAAAAATGCAGTCCCAGATTGCGCTTCGCGTGATACGGTCGCCTCACGCCGCCCAAGGACAAGGACTTTCAACCTACCTGTAGCAGCTCCTGTAGCTAGCAAGAGGGAAAGAAATAGCTTCATGCGACTTCTAGCTAGCTACCAGACTAAGCCAGCAGGAACATTCAGTCGGGGAAAAATGAGACTCCCTCCCTTTTCGGTACGGTACTAGTACCAGGTCCAGCTCTCTCTAACCTTTACAGTACTGTGCCGGCTGGCTTAAATATAAACTTATCCTGTAACCCTACCGGTACAGTTTTTTATTACAGTACTGCGTTTGGGGCATTGGTGCGTCTCCAAACCACTGCAGCGGGTTTGAACGGCCACCGTGAGCTAAGATCTTGAACAGCGGTGATCACCCACAGCAACAATCACAAAGACAACCATCACCATCGTCCTTTCATTGAGCTGTCTTTTGGCTTTCTCCTGCTTTGTTACTTCCTTCTGGTGTAGTAGCTCTAGCTAGCTAGATAGCCAGTTGCTCTGCTGCGATCTTTCTCTCTCTGAAACGTGCGGATTCGGTTCCATTGCTACTCTAGCCACAGTACTTCCTTGGTTATAGAGTCACAAACAGCCGACAATCTGCCTCTTCTGGTCCAGCCAAGTCTGGGTCATTTGTCGATCGGTTGCTCGCACAATCTACTCCAAAACGAAAACAAAAAGTGCTACTACAAAACTCTATTTTTTAATTTGATTGATCGACCATGTCCGACAGCGACGGCTTTATCGAAGACGACAGCGGCGGCAGCGACAGCGACATTGTCGAGACGGCCAAGAAGAGCAAAAAACGCAAATCGGACGATGACGATGCCCCTACGAAAAAGAAGAAGAAGAAGAAATCCAGCAAACCCTCGTGGATTGACGATGCCGCGGAAGAATCGGGAGAAGAAGGCGGCGACAGTGACGATGAAGAAGAGGAAGACGAAGACGCTCCCAATGACTATGTCAAGGATGGATTTGTGGTGGACGAAGAAGAAGAAGATCGACCGCGTCGGAAATCGGACGATGGATTGGAAGATTCGGATGAAGAAGATGACGACGATGATGACGATGACGGTCGACGCAAAAAGGGAAAACTCAAAAAGAAAAAATTGCGCCGTATGGACCAAGCACTCGATGAAGACGATTTGGATTTGATTCGAGAAAATCGTGGAGAAGATGTCGCCGGAGAAAAGATCCGACTCGAGCGAGAGCGTCGAGAAGCCGAAGCCCGTCGCAACAAGATTGTCGCCAAGAGTGAAGCCGAACTCCGCAAGGGATTATTCACCGGCAGTGATGACGAAGGGGATGTGCAAGCCCGTCGTCGAGAGGCCATGAACAAACACAGACGACAGCAAGTCGAACGCTACGATGAAGATGGAATGGATGACTTTATTGATGATGATATTGGTGATCAAGCTGATATTATGAATTCGGATCTACGTGGTGCAGGAGCAGAAGGACGCCGAGGAGGTGTCAGTGAGGCACAAATGAATGAAGCCAGCGAAATTTTTGGTACTGATTATCTGGAATTCATGGCAAATAGCACGGGAGAAGCGCAAGCAGGAAACGAATATGACGAAGAAGAACGGGAATTGATGGGAAAACGAGCATCCTATCGAGAAAAGGGTGTCGGTGTCGATTTGGGTGTCGACAGTGAAGAGGACATTAGTGACGATGATGATCTATTTGATCAGGATGAGGACGAAGAAGATCTACCTCCCGGAGTCACGGCCGGTCAACGCGCGGAAGCGCTCAAACTCAAACGCCAAAAGAGAACTCTCGCCAAGCAAGAACGCCGCCAAAAGGCATACAAACGAAAAATGGAAAAACGAAAGGCACAACTCCGCAAAGCATTTGAACCGGTTCAACTCATTGAAAATTTCTGCACGGATCGAGATGACGAAATTCGCAGATTGGATGCTCCCGAACGATACTATGATTTGGTACAACAACAAGAAATTGAAAAATCCAGAGACCGATTCCCGGAGGAGGAGGCGCCCATGACGGAAGAGGAACAGCAGGAGGCTACATGGATCATGCACAATATTCCCTCCATTGCCGCCGAGTACCGGACATGCCCGCCTGTCGAAGAAGGACGGGATATGAACGAGGTCATGGAACAACATCAACAGGCCATGATGGAATCCGTAGTGTACGCATTGCGATACATGCTCCGCGATCATCTCGAACCGGCTTTTATTGAACATTACCGGGCCGATCGAGTCGCCAAAGAATCGGTTCGATCCAGTTTGTACGAAATTATGGACGAAGACGCCGAATTTGAACGCACCAAGTTGGCTAGAACAAAGGTCGAAATATTGCTCGAAACTGTGACGCTCGATACCAACAAGGACGAGGCTGCGGGAAGTGAAGAAGAACAAATTTCGCAATTGGCCAAAACCATTGAAGAAGCCAGGGCCAAATTAGATGAATCCGTCAAGAAGGAAAATACCCTCAAGGCGGAGTTGGAGGAAATCAAACAAGCTGCAGAAGCTGCGGAAAAGAATGACGATGATGACGACAACCTGTTTGGTGCCGATGACGATGACGAGGAGGAAGCCAACAAAAAGAAGTTAGAGGAAGAAGAGGTAAGACTGCTTTGTGCCGTTATGATTGTGTCCTTGATGCAATCTCTTGTTGACTCAGAATAAATCATATCCCATGATGATGATTTGATTGGGTTAATTCAGAAAAAGAAGTCACGGGAGAAGCGAACGGCGGATTTGGAAGAGCACATTGAGACAGTACATTCGCTGTTGGAGACCCGATCAGAGAAGGTCTCCCAGCTGGAAAATCAATTGCAAAGTCTCCAAGCTCGGAACGCCCAGTCTCTGGAAAACCAGCGACCGGCGCAACAGGTAACAAAGAAGATCTGCCGAGCTGCCTTGTGGAACACACAAGACTACCGTGGCTACATTGGAACGATTAATGACGTGAAGAACATTGTGGATGTCAGTGGGTATCTGCATCTGATTCAAGAAGGAAATGATGCTATTCGCAAGAAAGAACTACCGTGGAGCACTGGCACGGATGGGAAGGATAAGAAACGTAAACGCAGTCGACGTTTCGATCGTGACTTTTACCGAACATGTGTGTCGGAAGGATTGAGGTCAATCTGCTATCGCTTCTTGTTGGCGCCCAATCGGGTGGGAATCAAACTGGAGGATCAATTGACACGAGGTGGATTTGACTTCACCCGAACCATGCCAGGGGAAACGAGCGGGGATGGCGAGGGAGAGGCAATGGTGGATCCTCAAAAATGGGTGGCGACTGTCATTCCTTCCCAAAGTCCTGTGGAGTTCGCCAACGAGCTGGTTGGAAGTGGAGAATTGGTTATGTTATCTTCCGCAGGGTCTGGAGCCGACGCGACAGATTCCAGGGATCCATTGAGGGGGTGTCGTTACGTTGCGGCAATGGAGTTGGCCCACGAACCCCGTATTCGCAAGCACCTGCGAAAAATCTATCGGCGTTTGTCCTGCCTGACGACGCACCCTACCAAAAAGGGAATGGAATTCATCGACGCCTTTCACGACTACTATGGGCTGCACCTGATCCGAAATAAGCCAATCAAGGAGCATTTCCCCATGGACGAGACAGAAAGTGAACTTCGCAAGTCTAACTTGTCGCCGGCAGAATGCGCCGAATTGGATAAAGAGATGGCCAAACGAGAGCGGCAATCGTGTCTTCAGTATCTTCGCTTGATGAAAGCGGAAGCGACGAACGATGTAGAAGTGCACATTCATTTGCCGCTCTTGGAATCACCCGATGACTGGTACCGCCCTTCGTCTTCGATCGCGTTGAACAAGAAGAAGCTCACCAGCACCGACAACCAAGACATCAGCGCACTCATGACCGAGTTGGAAAGGGTGTACCTGCCTCCTGACGGTGACACCGATGAGTGGAATGAAGAGCGTCGCAAAGTGCTCCGTTTCACTTTGACGAATTTTCTGCTGCCACAGTTCGAAGCTGAGATTCGCCGCGAGCTGAAAGATCTGGCAACTAAAGCGGGAGTGATAGCGGCGGGAGAAGAGTTGGAAAAGATGGCCATGGAGGGCCCCTACCGTCCGTCTGCCATTGCCCACACAGAAAACAGATTCCTTTATCCGACTGGAGATCAACCAATCGTGGGAGTGTGCGTCTCGACCGATAACAGGGAGGCGACCTACTTGGTATCGCTGACGGAACGTGGGGAAATGGGTGACCATCTCGCAGTCCCTGGCGGTACTCGAGTGGACTCTCCAAAGATGCGCGAGAAGATCATCACGTTCTTTCTGCAGCATCGGCCTTCCGCCGTGATTGTCGGGACCGGCGGCGGGTTCAGTAGTCGCTTCATCACCCGAAAGCTTGGAGACATGATTTCGGAGGCAGTGAATCGCTGGAACAACAGGGAAATCCAAGGCGAGGACGAGGATGACGAAGCATTTGAAGTGCGCCGCAAGAAGTTGGACAATATGGTCAGCAGGGATCCATACGGCGATTATGATGACGATGACTACGGCATGGAATGGAAATGCAATTCGGATATTATTGACGACAGCATCGCACAGCTCTTCGGTCGGAGCGTCCGATCCAAGAAAGAATTCCCCGACCAGGCAGTGAATCTTAAGATTGCCATTTCCATCGGACGTTATGCTCAGGATCCGCTCTCAGAGCTGACATACGCATGGGGCGTTGCCAGTGATGCTGGTGTTTTTGGGACTGAGCTGTTATACATCAATATTCACCCAATGCAGCAGCTGCTGCCAAAGCCGATGCTGCTTCGGAACTTTGAACGAGTGTTGACTGGTGTTGTGGCGAGGGTCGGAGTTGACGTGAACACCTCCTGCCAGTTCGACCACTTGCACGGCTTGCTGGGTTTTGTCCCTGGACTTGGCCCCAGAAAGGCAGCAAATCTGAAGATGAACTTGGCTCCGCTGGGTGGTTTGGTCACGAGGAGGAAGGATTTGCTTGAAAAGAGGCTCATGGGCCCTGTTGTGTACAACAATTCGGTAGCATTCTTACGCATTCGAGATGTCGATCAGCTTGATGATCAATTCCTGCACCCGCTGGACGATACCCGCCTGCATCCGGACGTTTATATCCGAAATGTTTGGGCATCGAAGATCGCTGTGGATGCTTTGGAACGAGACGATTCGGCTCAGGCGACGGAAGCCTTTCGAGACGTCATGGATGATTCGCGCAAGGAGGTCGAACGTCTTTTCAAGGACACAAAAGCCGAATGGGAGAGTCGTTATGGCCATACATTCAACATTCCTGATTGGAATCCTCGAAAGAATGTCCCTGCGGATATGTGGCGTGACAAGGTCGAAGAACTGGACCTCGAGGCCTTTGCCAACATGATTGAACAGTCTGGAAAGGGCAGGTGGCACAGCCATCTCCAGATGATCAAATGGGAGTTCCGCCTTCCTTTCTGTGACCCGAGGAAACCAATGGAGCCTTTATCGGGCGACAAACTATTCCGGCTGATCACGGGCGAGACGGATCAGACGTTGCGTCCAGGAAAGGAAATTACTGGTAAAGTTGTGAAAAACGGAGACTTCGGTTCTCGCCTCAAGCTTGAAGGCGATATCCCTGCGTTCATCCCACTGAGGAACCTTGCAGATGAGCACGTTGAGGCTGCTGAGGACATTGTCAACGTTGGTACTGTCGTGACTGCCATTGTGACGGAAGTGAAGAAGGACCACATGGTAGTTGACATGAGTCTCAAGATGGAGGATTTCAAGAAGAACCCTGGTACTTGGGATCGTCCTCCGACGCTGCCTCCACTGGATGACCATTTCGATCGAGGTGCTGCACATCGAATTGAAGAACAAAAGAGCAGGGATCGAGATGCCCGCATGGAAGCTCTCAACCTCAGCATGAACTCGGCAAGGATTGATGGCGATGGTTTGGGTAAGAAGAAGATCAACCGAGTGGCTAGGCGTGCCTGCGCACATCCGGCCTTCCGGAACGTCAAGCAGGATGAAGTTGACAAGGAAATCCGCGAGGCAGGCGAGATGATGGTTGGCGAGGCACTGATCCGACCAAGCAGCAAGTCAAGTGAATCCTTGGCCATTCACTGGGTTGTCAAATTGGGTTCTGTCAAAGTAGTGGAGATCACGGAGGAGGAAAAGGATACAGACGCCAGCATCGGCAATGTCCTGAAGATCAAGGTAAGGCTATGATTGATCGACTTGGGCTGGCTGCAGTTCGTTCCATTCCGGTTCTAACGGCGCAACCCTCCAGAATGAAACATACGGGAGTATTGATGAGTTGCTGGGTAGGTATATTGCCCCTATGAACGATTACGTGGAGGAGTTGACGAGTCACAGGAAGTTCCTTGATTTGCCCGAAGATGAAGTGGACGAAAAGCTGCAAGAGCTCAAACAGAAGAACCCAGCCAGTATCCCGTACCACTTGTGCTGGATGGAAATGCACCCGGGTTACGCCAGCCTTCGCTTCGTCTTGAGCAAAACACCCAGACATCATCCTGTGGGTATCTCACCGAAAGGTTTCAATTGGGGCTCGCAGTGCTATTCCAATTTGGACAAGCTGCTGAATGAGTTCAAGAGGAACCCTCGGGGCGTTTCGACCAAATCAAGCAGATCCTCATCATCACCACCACGCAACAACCCAGCACCACCGCCACGGCCCTCGAGATGGGGTGCAAAGCCGCCGCCACCTTCTTTTGGACAGCCACCACCACCCGCGGCACCGGCTGCCCCAGCAGTTGGAGGAAGTTCTGGTTGGGGTGCGCCACCACCCCGTCCCCCGCCGCCTACTTTTGTTCAAGCGCCACCGCGACCCCCGCCGCCTACTTTCGGACAGCCACCCCCGAGGCCACCGCCTCCGCCGAGACCCACATTCGGCCGTCCCCCACCTCCGCCCACATTTGGCCGACCCCCTCCTCCTCCTACCTTTGGCCAGCAGTGATATTGCTTATCTACTAAAGAGAAACTGTTAATGTCTGCTTTTACATTGTAGCATCCCTGTCTACGTCTAGTACCAGGTAAAGCAGCCACCAGAAGCTGGCCAGATGGTATCTAGCCGGTTCTCAAGGAAACAAGGAGAAAGCAGACTTGTTACTTCAGTGCAGAACCATTGGATGCAATCACTGAACCCATCAGAATTCCGTTAGAATTATCCATCACCAAGGGACGCAGCTCCTCGCATTCCAAATGAAGGTTTGCCGTGTGGGATTGTTGTTGTTGTTGTTATCGTGGAAGACGTTTGTTACGACTGACTCGACTGTCAGTACGACTCGGGTCTGACTAGCTGCACCTTCCGAGAAAGCAGAGCTGCCTGCTATTGAGGCTTTGCAGCTTGCTCCTTCAGTGCAGAACGATTCAATTGCTGAAGCCAGATTCGATTTGATCCTCTAGAAATTCTATTAGTTGCACCTTGCTGCGAAGAGCTGTCTGTCACAACAGCCCAGATTGTGGCGGGCAGCTTTTGGATGTTGCAGTCGAATCTGAATCCGCTTGGATAGATGGCCTAAACGACAATGCGGCCATGCTTGCAGTGCTGTAAACAAAATTAAGAATGGGCCCTGTTTTCGAGGTCTGACGAACTAACTCTGCTTGTAGGTGATAGGGCTGTGCGCCTTGATGGATTTCACATGGACCAACGCTTTGTCTGGAAGTACCAATCCCGTCAACTGTTTCCCGTAGACAGCACCTGTATCCAAACCGGTAGCCCATGCATATTGTTGCAAACCTCGCCGTGCATCATGCCCAAAAATGATCTGCCAAGGTCCCTTCCACGCGCTAGCCCATGGTTCTGGATCTAACCTTTCCGATTCCTGCGACTTTTCATCAAAATCGGTGTACTCTCCGGTGCTCGCTTCCTGGCATACTTCTCGCAAGGTGACCATAGTCTTGATCGATTGTTCCTCAAGAGGAACCTTGGGGATCAAACCGGCATGGACAATGAGCACATCTTCCTCTCTTGCATCACTCAGAACAGTGCTAGGGATGTGGATGGTGTAGGGCAATTCCGACATCCACAAGACGTCCTCATCGGAGAGCACCTCCAACGATTCTGCTTCAGTTGCTGCCATTACCCACTGATACGTCTTCTTTTGTCTCCGTGTCTCATCTCCCAAGGCTGCCGCCAGTGCTGCATCATCGTGATTGCCTCGAATGGAAAACCATCGTGGAGTCTTGCGCACGTGTTGAATGACCTTGGCCGAAAAAGGACCCTTGTTGCACAAATCTCCCACGAGAATGACACAGCGAAAGGGACGATTGTCGTTGTGTTCTGTCTTGGCCTTTTCATGCAGTAGCATCAGTTCTTCGTAACAGCCATGAACATCTCCAATCACGAGAATTTTGTCACTGGCAGCGTCGTCGTCATCGCTTGTTTCCTCCATCAAGTCGACCAGATTGGCATGCATCGTCTTGGGCAAAGGAATCTTGCCACGGCGTTGGAAATAGTGGTCTGCTTCCGTTTCATAGGTTCGTTTGGCAGTACTGCTTGGAGAAGTGCACGTCTCTTTCCCATGATGGGACGAGGTTGCCACTACATGTCGAGAGAAACTGCGAGTGGTGCCATGGCCGTTCAAGCTTTTCTGGTCTGGCTCTCGCGACTGATCTCGTCCACTAACTCCAGTCAACGATGCATAGGCCGCAGAACCTGTGATTCCAGCGGATGCCAACAACAAGGCGTGCTTCAGCGCCTTTTGTCTCATCGCGTCTCCTTCCGAGCGCCATTGTCTCTCTTCGACCTCCGTTTTCTTCGATCTGTCCTTCGCCTCATCCGTTGGATCCAGCAATACGTCGTTTGGGGAGAACTCATTAGGGCTTAGGCTACTAGTAACATATTTTAAGTCTTGGTGTCTGTCTGCATAACTAATGACTACGAGCAACTTCAAGCATTTTGCATAGTTTTATTAATTAAAAGAAGAATGATAAGCATCAAAGTGAATGAATTCCAAGATCTTCCGCGCGACGAAGTTCGCGGATCAATTGGAGGGGGTTCGGGTTTGAGGGCTTTAGCCTTCAAAATCAATGCCTCTTTTGCTCACAATTTGGAACTAGGATCCAAAGCAACCAAAGCCACCACCACACCACCACTACCTACCAATACTACCGCTTGCTTACCACAACAAACAAACACGGAAGTATTCTATTCGATACTATAATCCCCTTCGATAAAATTATGTCTGCCATCACCATGTCTACACCACCACAAACACACTTTGATCAGAATCAACTTCCCGCGGAACTCAAGAATGTCACAATGAGAAAATCCGTCACGTCGTCCATCACGTCGACATCCACCTATGAGAGCACCCAAGACGAATCTTCTCTTGTCAACACCACGGAACTCTACAAGATTCCTCTCTTTCGCATCAACCCCTCCTTTGGAATTGTCAATGTCGCCAACAAAGATATCAAGTTACAACCCATGACCATCAAAGAACGCCGTGATGTGGGAGCCAATGTCAATATTGTGTTTGCCGTGCGCACCCCGGGATGTGGTGGATGCCGAGAACACGCGGTGCAACTCGCCGAACTGGCCAAGACGGACAAGAAGATCAGTGTCGTGGCGGCCGTCAAAGAAACGGGAGTGGACGATGAAGCCTTGATGGAGTTTTACGAAGATTACTTTCATCATCCAATCTACAAAGATGCCGAATGGAAGATCTTTCGTGCCATGGGAGGCAAAAAGGTGTCGCCCTTTACCATTCTCAAGCGAGGAGCCAGTCTGTTTCGAAGAACCAAAACTAAGGGTATTGAATCCAAAGTCACTTCGGGAGTTGACTTTTGGACCAAGGGTGGTGTCTTGATCTTCAACCGCAAGGGCGAACTCAAGTACACGCAATATGAACGATTTGGCAAAGAGTTTGACATGGAGGCCATTCGAGATGCCATTCAGGACATTCGAGCAGAACAAAAACACACTGGTCATAGCCAGCACATGTAGTAAATGAAATGAAAAGAATCTACTGTACGAGTAAATGCATAGAACAGAAATCTATCTATCTAGAAAGTCCACAGTATTCCAACTGATTAGTTTGGGTACAAGGTGCATGAATGAGCTCAACCAGCATAACAGCATCACATGAGAAAGTGAAGGAGATTTGGGCAGGAGGTTACAGGGCTGCAGCCATTAGCCCTTTGAACAAAAGGCGGATGCAGCTTGTCATCTTCCCAAAAAAGAGCACACTTCTTTTGCATCATCATCCATTTAGAAATATTTCTCGGATGAACGACAAAAGGATGAGTATCAGAGATGACCTCTGTTGAGTCAACGAAGTATGGTCATTCGATGCAGTTGCTCCGTCAAGAGTACGGAATAATCTACCGGCTACTACACGTGTAGTAGTTCAGAGGTCGTGGCTCATCCTTCCATTCACTTTTGAACTCTGACCACAAGGCCAGAGCTCATTAGTTCCTTGTAAAGACGCTTTGTTTTGTTCCATATACATAACCAACCTCATCATTCCAGCTTGACAACGTCCACGTTTGGCATTGCCGCCTTCGAGCATTCATTCATGGCTGATGAGAGAGACAAGCCTTCACCCCGTCCCTTGTTTGTTTCTGCAGCACGGCTGCTTTGATAGAGGTGAAGCACAATAAATAGTATCCGTGACTCCAATGCGTCCGATCCAATGGTTACGAAGGAGAACAAGAGAATTAGAATAGAAACCAATTGGGCCGCATTGAGCCAGCAAACATATGGATCATTTAGAAAACAAAGTGACGGGCCTGGCTCGTGCCGGTCTTCATTTTTTTGCCTCCAGGTTTCATCCGTGCGTTTTGCTATCTTTCGCCTTGAAAAAGGTAGCCAAGCAAGCAACCAAGGTTTTTTTTGCTGGGTTGCTTATTGCTTACGATACCTTGTTGCTTTCAGAGTGAGTAGACGAAGCAAACCCAATAACGCGACTGTGTGGGAAGAGACTTTGAAAGGTGCGAAATAGGACCAACCAGTAATTTTTGGCACTTCATTGTTGGTGGTTGAAAATATCCACAGGAAGTCGGAGGATTGCTCTCATCTCAAGCCAAGGTTCCTTGCCTGCAAGCTTCCTTCATTCAGTCAGTTAGTTGTTTATAAGCGACAAGACCAAGATGGCGGAGGCATCCAATAACGATGAGCTCTTTGATTATGTGGGGTACCAACCAGATGGGATCGCTGACGATGAGGCAATGGGCGGAAGCAAAAAGACCAAGAAGAAGAAGAAAGACAGGTCCTTTCGCAAGTCCAAAAGCTCCGGACACCATACTTCTACTATGCAGGACAGTAGCCGAAGCACCACTTCCGAATTGTCCGACGATGATATGGATCTGATGATGGGCAGTAAACGAATCTCGCACTCGTCCAAGAGTTCCAAGTCGTCTCGTCATGCTAATAATAATCGAAAGATGAACAGTAGCCATGGTGACATGAATTCCAGCAGTGTGCGCAACCGAAACAACAATCGAAGTCCCATGCGACATACCATGTCCCACGATGCCCTGTCCAAAAGCGATCATCCTCCCAAAGGCAAAGGAGTTCGTGCCAGGAGTACCCGCTTGAGTCCAACCAGACAAACCAGCAAGGATCGTAGTTTCACGGCAACTTCGAATAGAAGCATGACCAGTACTACTTCTGCTGGCAATAGGAAGAAGAGCACTACCAAAAAGAAAAAGCAAAAAGACGTGTTGTCCGAATCTCTTCATGTCGATGACGTCTTTCAACAAGCCACCACTACCGACGATGAAGCCCACAAAAGTGAAGACTACGATACGTTTGATGAAGACGAATTGGAAGCAGATACCCAACGTCTCAGTAAGTTGGTGGCTCCTTCCAAATACTCCAATTCCGACAGTGCCATGCGCTACGATGCCAAGAACAACAACAGTTCCGGCAGTCTCAACAATAGTAGTGGTAAAAGTGGACAACGACAACACGTCAGTCTCAATCAAGATCGTCGTCCCAGTCTCCTCGCCAAATTCAAAGGCATTTATTCCAGTACCGATATGCGTCGCAACGTCAAGGAAGAAGAAGCTGCCAGTGACGATGTACCCCTCGATCCTCGTGTTCGAGCACCCCACAGCAAACGATTGACATCGCGAGATCCCGGGACACGACGTCGATCCAGTCTCATGGATCACATGCAAGAACTCTTTTACAATGCGCAACTGACACAGTCGGAACGCAATTCGACCGACTTTGAAGATGTGCAAGTCAATGACAGTGGGGCCAGTCGACGCAAGTCGCAATTCTCGGCCGAATTGACTCCTACTGGATTGAAGAGACCTTCTGGAGACTACATGTTTGGTCTCCCCAAGGAAGATCAACAAAACAAGAAACGAGCCGTGTCCGTCATGATGGTCTTTTGTGGATGTGTCGGGTTGATTGTGGGCATCGTATTGTTGGTGACCGTCATTACGGGAAAATCGTCGTCTGGTGTGACACCAGAATCGGACAGTGCTGTTGCTGTTGTCGAGACCAATGCTCCCACCGTGCCTTCATCGACATTGGCTCCTTCCGAGTCGCCCGTGTTCACAGAGCCTCTCACCGCCACGGGCGTGGTCACGGAAGCCCCAGCAAACCAAGAAGAAGAAGATCCACCCACCGACCTCGGTCGAAAAGAATTTGACGTCTCGCAAGTCCCAAAGACATCTCGAGAGGATGCCCTGCATTTCCTGGTGCAAGATCAAAGTGTGTCCAGTGTCGACGACTTGGCCAATGATCCCGAATCACCAGCTGCGTTGGCATTGCGATGGATCAGTGACATGGATGCTGCTCAAGTGAGCATTCCTGGTTTCGACAAGGACGAAAGCGACAATCTAGCTTCCTTGTACAAAGTCTTGCAACGATATGCCTTGGCGGTACTGTACTTTGCGCAAGAATCATCGTCACAAACGACCGATGATGCTTCTGTCGTTGCTGTCAAGAGCGAAACGGAGCAGCATAATCGAATGGAAATGGACAAACACTGGACGACGGCCAAATCAGAGTGCGAATGGTTCGGTGTGACATGCAACGATGACGACTTGGTAGTGGCACTGAATCTTTCCTCTTCCATCCTCCAAGGAACATTGCCACAGGAATTGCTGTCGGGGGGCGCCTTTCCCGCTTTGACTAGTTTGGATTTGAGTTTTAATAAACTCAAGAGCAATGTCCCGCATGTTCACGTCGAGATGCCGACTTCGACCTTGGGTGTCGATCCTTCCAACATACCACTGCAGGAACTATACTTGAACAACAATGAAATGAAGGGGCAAATACACAATTTGTTTGCATTGACAGATCTGGGTGAGTCTGCAACAGCAGTGATAAGGCATATATATTGTTGGTGGCTTGTTCTTACAAGAAATGTGTTTCTTGCGATTGCCGCAGTTGTACTGGATCTCAGTGGAAATCGATTTGGTGGAACTATCAAAGACACAATCTCTGGCATGACCAAACTATGTAAGTTGTCTCGCACAGAGATCATCCCAATGGCGCTTTCACTCATGAATCACATCGCCTCTCATGATTTCACATCCCACCCCTTGCGTACCCTACCGGTACTAGCGAGCCTGAAGCTGCAAAATAATCGACTGTTTGGCAATCTCGCACATCTGACAAACATGCCGAGTCTAGGTACGTGGGCTTCACAAAAACTTTCACGGGATTAGCTATCAAGCCTTTTCCTAATGTCGTCGTCTCACCCTCTCCACAGAGGATCTTAATTTGGAAGGAAACCAGTTCACAGGCTCCATACCATCTACAATGTCGAGCCTCACGAGCTTGAAAATGCTGAAATTGGATCACAACGAAGCGATCGAGGGGGCTATCCCAGACTTTATAGGATCTTCCCTCACCAATCTGCAACTTCTTGACTTGCGCGAAACTGGAGTTAATTCCACCATCCCAGCTAGCCTGGGCCAACTCGGAAATCTAGGTACGTTGAAGGATTGTTGTTGCGTCATTGAAGTCTTGCATTGGACTGCTTTCTCATTTGTGGGCGGGCATTGGTTGCTTTCAACAACAACATCAACAGAGGAACTATACTTGCACGGTACCGCTCTGGCTGGTGACATGCCAGCTGAACTATGCCAGCTACGCTCTCCGCAAGGTTCTTTAGCTGCTCTAACGTCAAACTGCGGGGAATCAGGGACTGTTGCATGCAGCTGTTGTTCTGATTGCTTCTGGGGCTAAATCCAAAGTTTCCCTTTTTGTCTTGGTTACTTCAAACCAAGCAATTTACATAACTACACAGCATTATCAATAGACTAATTTCAGATCTGTCCTTCAAGTTTCATGTGTGCGTTTCAACGTTTCGATTCTAGCTAGCTGCCTAAGTTTTGTTCACTATCGGTATATGAATTATGATGCCGTGGGCTCGTTGCCCATGGCACGATTGCTCGCCTTTCGATGACCACCTGCATGCTCATATTCTTCCTCGAGCCAAAAGAGCTTTTCAGTGATTAGCAATAGATTTTGGTCACACAGTACGATCGCTCACGGCAGAGAGGACAACAGTCTCCCGTGGAGTCGTAGCGTGCAACGCAATCGCCGCAGACACACAAGTGTCCACAGGGAATGTATGCATGGGATGGTTGGTTTTCGAGACAGACAACGCATTTGTTTTCTCGCGTGGCCTTGGCGATAGAGCATTCCTGCGGCTCTGGAATAGCCGAATTGGTAGCTGTGGTCGCGGCAGTGGCTTCTTTCGTTGCTTCGGCTTGCTCTACTGGCTGAGAGATTGATGCCGTAGTAACTGCAGGGACGGAGGATGCAACTACCGGACTGGTTGCCTCAGTTTGTTGCACTTCCTCCGCTGGTTGCTGTTCCTCCTGACCCTCCTGACCCTGCTGAGCCAACGAAGCCGACGATGCACTGGGCACCAAATTATCCAGATCCCTCAAACATTGAATACTCGATCGATCCACGTGAAGAGCCTGCTTTTTCTTCATTTTGGAGAAAATGTCGTTGAATCCAAGACTTCCCATGTGCAACAGGATGCAGTCTCCAGTCAGTCTCTTCTCGGCCTCCTTCTTGTCGTCTTCCCATCCATCATAGGAGAACGCTGTGCCATCCAAGGCTCGAATGTCGGGATGGGACCGATCACCCATATAAAGGCGCTGTTTGTTTTTCATGGCCACAAACTTGCGGTGGAAGCAGTCAGCCGTGGACGATGTCGAGTACTCGACAAAGTACTTTTCACAGACGGCCCGGTCCACTTCCCATCCGGGAAACGTAAAAACTGTATTGTCCAGTTCCTGAAGCCCAGGAAGACTGGCTCTGTCTACGTGCATTTTTTGCTTCTTCTTCATCTTTTGGAAATGGCTTTCAAAGCCGGAATGTCCCAAATTAAAGGTCATGCAATCGCCGGTGTGTCTTCGAATGGCTTCTTCCTTGTCTGCCTCCCATCCCTTGTACGTAAAGAGCGTGGCATCGAGGGCCATAATTTCCGGATGAGACCGGTCACCCTCATGAAGTTTTTGTTTGTGTTGCATGGCGCGGAGTTTGTGATAAAAGCAATCATCGCGACTATCGGTGGAATAGTCAATGTAAAACTTTTCCGCCTGTTGACGATCCGCCTCCCATCCTGGATAGGTGAAATGGCCGGCATCGAGTTCTCGCAGTCCTTCGACCGAACGGCGGTCACAGTGGAGTTTTTGTTTGCGTTTCATCTTGGCAAACAAATCTTGAAAGCCATAGGTTCCCATGTGCAGCAGAATACAGTCGCCCGTGTGTCGCTGTTCACATTCTTCCTTGTCTTGTTCCCAACCATTGTACGTAAACACGGTCGAGTCCAAGGCCACAATGTCCGGATGGGACCGATCACCTTGATAGAGACGCTCCTTGTTTTTCATGGCAATAATCTTGCGGTTGAAGCAATCACTGGCCGATGTGGAAGAGTATTCGATAAAGAGCTTTTCCGCTTCTTCTTTGTCGAGAGCCCAACCAGGGTAAGACAGCGTCATCTCATCTTCGGGTGCCAGCAGCGACATGGTGTGCGAGTTTATTGTCGAGTTATGATAGTGGAGTGATTGTAGTTTTATGACATGAGACTGTGGAGAATGAAGGGGCGAGAAAGGAAATGATCGACCCAGCGATCGAGCCATTGCCTTACTTGATGTTTTCTGTTTGCGTGGTCGGAACCCTGAGGTGCGTTGGAACAGCTTGGGCCACGTTGATCGCGCATTCATAGAGGCGACACATCATGATTTAACAAATCCACTGCTCCGACATCAAAAAGAAGCTTGATAAGAACTCCCGAAAGAGGCATGTTTTAGCAAGGAAGGCACTGAAACTTGAAGGCTTTGGTCTTGCCGAAAAACGGCGGAACGGCACAGCACTGCATTCCAACTTGGTTCAATGCTTGTACCATGGTACCGGTACCGGTACTACACCTACATTTAGCTTTCCAAGGTATCCGGTAGCAGGGCTCTCCAGTAGGAAAACCTTCAGACACATCTATCAAGCCCATGAATTTCAGTATGGTCAATGTCGGCCTGCGTACCTGCAAAAAGGGAGCTACCTGAGATGCAGAGGAAGCATTGCAGCCATATTGCCTCATCCGACACTTTCAGCTCAGAGGAGGGTTGTCTTTGGAGCTTTGTAAGCATATGCAGAAGTCTACCGTAGCTGAAAAGCCACTGCAGGGTGGTACCGCAGGCTTTTCGAATGCAGCTCAATCGCAGGTGCATTGAATACATGTAACAGTGAAACAGTGACTCGACGCTTGAGGTCCTTTGGATCTCATTCCTCCGTATGAACTAATTTTAAAAAGGGGGTACGCATTCGTCAGCAACCCATTAACTATGATTCGTTTTGGGGGGCAATAGACAAAAGTGACCTTGGAAGTCTAAGGTCTACGAGTAGTGTAGTCTAATCCTTACGTATGATCCAGCCAGCTCGCCAAAACAGTGCTGTGCAGTACGCAGTACGCACAGGTGGTAGTACTCGTACATTGTTCATGGATACTGGTATGGATGGCAATAGGTCGATACCACCACCATCCCATCCTCCTTTGCATGATGCAGGGATGCGGGCTAGGGTCCTGTCGGCAACAAACGGACTCAGAAGAGCTCAATGATGAGATTGCTGATTTACGTTCGGTAAAGTGCGTGAGGGATAGTCCAACATCTTAAAATACTGACCGCCTTCGCTTTGGAGCAACAGAAGTGCACCAGCGCCAGTACGGTAGCGGAAACTAGCGCGGACAGTATTCAATCTACCTGCATCATTGGATGAGCCATACGAGCATTCTTTCGAGCGATCCTTCCCGTAGATCTCCTGCTGTGCGTCTGATGGTACATTTGGAGAGCTTTGGGCGCCAAAACTCTTGCCTATAAAACCGGTACCAGGTACTTTCTGTACGGGTCCGGTAGCCTCCCCCTTCGGTACTTCAGCGCGTTCAACCTGCAACCATTAATTTTGAATCGAATCCTAAATAAATGTCTGTACGGGACCTTCAGCTTTACCGTACGTACCAATACCTCTGTTATTAGGTACTGGTACCAGGTACCGGTACATGTACCAGTACAGGCAGCAGGCAGCTTTTCATTGAATCGAATGATTCGATTCAATCCAATCCGTGCGAATTGTTTTCATTCGTGCTTCTCTAGCTACATGTAGGTTAACTCTTTTGTTGGCAAATTCCAAATTCGACGGCCAGACCAGAAAGGCATTCACATCGAGAGGCCACGTCCTTCGACTTGTCTCTGTTGTTACGCACACCGACGAGCACCAACGACCAAAGACACAATGGCTTCCTCAAAGGAGGACCACTAGCTAGTACACCCACGACAACACCAGAACAACAACAGCAACAACATGGCTCCTCAACCAGCGGCGGCAGCGCCATCAGAATCTCCCGGCACAATGCCGCTGACGACCAACATGACAGCGACATCCCTGACAAGCGGTGGAAACAGCTGTTTGGACGAGCAAATTGAAAGACTCAAGCGTTGCGAGTACTTGAGAGAGGGCGAAGTGAAGGCCCTCTGTCTCCGAGCAAGAGAAATATTGGTCGATGAGAGCAATGTTCAGAGAGTGGATGCTCCTGTCACTGTAAGTGTTTCCAGGAGAAATCCGTTGGCAGCATCCAATTGCTCGACCGTTGCCTGGAAAATATTTCGAAATTTCTCACCCTCATTTTTCTTCTTTCTTGCCAAAAGATATGTGGCGACATTCACGGCCAGTTCTATGATTTGGTAGAGCTGTTCAAGGTTGGTGGAGAATGCCCTGATAAAAACTATCTGTTTCTGGGAGATTTTGTGGACAGAGGTTATTACTCCGTGGAAACATTCCTCTTGCTTTTGGCGTTGAAAGTAAGATACCCCGACCGGATCACCTTGATCAGGGGGAATCATGAAAGCCGACAAATCACACAGGTCTATGGATTCTATGACGAGTGCCTGAGAAAGTATGGGTCGGTCAATGTATGGAGATACTGCACTGAAATCTTTGACTACCTGAGTCTCAGCGCCATTATTGAGGATAAGATCTTTACAGTTCATGGAGGGCTCAGCCCCAGCATCAATACACTGGATCAGATTCGAGTCATTGACCGCAAACAGGAAGTTCCCCACGATGGGGCCATGTGTGATCTCATGTGGAGTGATCCAGAAGAAATTGATGGGTGGGGACTTTCTCCAAGGGGAGCTGGATATCTGTTTGGTGGTGACATTGTATCCATGTTCAACGAACGCAACGATCTGGATTTGATTGCCCGAGCGCATCAGTTAGTCATGGAAGGACATCGAAGTATGTTCAATGACGCCCTGGTGACAGTGTGGAGTGCCCCCAACTATTGCTACCGATGTGGCAACGTGGCAGCCATTCTCGAACTGGATGAAAACTTGGAAAGAAGTTTCAAGATCTTTGATGCCGCACCACAGGAGGCAAGAGGGGTACCCATAAAGAACCCTCCTCCGGACTACTTCTTGTAGCACTCTACCGTATCAGTACCTGTGAATTTTAGAATGGCTGTGAAGTAATTATCGTCCAAAAATCAGTAGCTAGTGCTGTCGTAGTCATCATGGACTGCATCATTGCAAGTGCTTGGCGGCGTAGTCGGCGGCTGCTCTACGTGCAACACCACCGCTTGCAGCCGATGCTCCCGTGGCGCCTCGAGCTGTCTTGGCCATGCTGGCACTGCTGGGGCGCAAGATCATCAGAGACTGCGGCAGGTTCCACCTCCAAAGGGAGACAACAATCCAGAGGACCGCTACGAGCGCTAGCGAGGCACACAAGAGCGTGGTTGAAAACAGACTGCTTCGAACCAGACGCTTTTGTCGTATGACACCGTCCATCAATGCAACTCTTCCAAACAGGTAGCCCCAGAACGCCGTCGAGGAAAGGCAAAAGAAACAACCCCAAGACTCAACACTACTCGCAGAGATTGTTCCAGCTCCACCAAGAATAAAGCTGATGGACGTGACGACAAACTCCGCCAGAAACAAAACTCCACCAGAGCTTCCGAGTAGCTGGCCCAATAAGAATGAAAGGCTCACCAGCGTGACCAAATTTAAGCCCTTCAGGACGGCGCCCACACTCCCGTATGCTCCTCCCGAGACTCCCTTTTCCAATGAATGCAACGACATGCTCAAACCCTATGAAAAGAAACCGAGTTGAGCATTCTTCTCTCGCATGCAGCGTACTTGAACAACAGCTGACAACAAACTCACCAGGCTGATGCTGCACGAAAACACCGTCAGAAGATTCATCCAAAAGTGCGGGGTTGTCGAACTGAAGCTTCCCAAGGCACCGATGGCAGCCAACAGAAGTTTTCTCGACGAATGGTCTTCAATTTCAATGTCGTCCCAGCGACCACCCCAAAACATGAGGCCTCTACCGGCAACGGCACGGAAAACAGATCTGTTGGTGGACGAACAAGAAACAAAGAAAGGTAAGCCACGAACAACCTTGCACAGCGAGAACGAGCTCTTGGCAGACAGCAACCTCACCTATGTTCGCGGAAATCTTGACTCCTCCAGAAGCAAATGTGCTTGAAGAGGTCACCTGCAGACCGTAGGTTCCACTGAGGAATAAATGTTAGCCTTTGTAGGAACAAGGGGCATACTTCATCCCATCTTCGTTTATACCGCAACAACAGCCGCTCAAGAAACGTGGATTGCAGCGTTTGGAAGCTAATGTGTTCTAGCATGGCGCGCGTGAAATCACGGCTTGTCCATCTTTCGCACCAACGGCCAAGATATAACAATATCAGAAACAGCACAACTGCAGCACCACCGCATTCAAGCTCGGAGAGGAATCTGTCGAAACAATACACGACGAGGAAACATTTTCATATGAGACACAATCCGATCCTCAACTGAAGTGCAAAAACGTCAAAACCACGTACCTCATTTCGCTGGTGAGTTGATAAGGAAGGTCTTCCAAATGATAATCCACTGGCTTGCAAGGAATCCAATGCGCCGCGCGTGCACAGAGCGTCCAAAACAGGGGAAAGGCCATCAAGGCGAGGCTGAGCCATCGCATGCCAATGAGAAGGTGGCGGTTGACAACCACTGCTGTGGCGATTTGGCTTCCGTCATCCACGGCCCATCCTAGTTGCGCGGATATCGACCATATCAGATTCAAAAGCCTTGGTCCCGGACCTCGAAACAATGGTGCACCAACGCCAACTACCATGTTGCCGCCAAAGTTGTTGTTGTTGTCATTGGCAGCTGCGTTGTTGACGTGCGCGCGAGCATTGCCTCTGTGGGCACCAGAGTTTCGCACGGACTCGGACAACATGGAGTTGCTCGGGGACACTGCGCCTTCTACGGACTTGCTTCCGCCAACGGGGTCTGGGAGGGAGAGAGCCACGATCCTAGAGGAAGCAAAAGGCCGCAAACTGGCTAATGAGGATTCCAACCTGTTGTCACTCGTTGTTGTCTCCTCTGCCAACGACGCTGGGGACACTTCAATGACCTCTTTTCCATCTTTCTCTGCAGGCGTTTCTGGTTTTTCGTCCATAGGCTCGGTTGGGTCGCTGCCATCATCAATACTCAACGGGAATCGACCCATACCTAGTGGTGGTATGTTCCTTAGATAACGCCTCATCGACAATGTACGATATACTGAATGGTCGGACATTTGTGGCAATAGGTGTGTCAAACCCAGCGCGTCTTGAAGGCGGTAGAAGACTGCCTTGTCCAACAAGGAACGCACGATGGCAGGGCAGTCGCTCTCACTATTACTGTTGTATTTGTTGTTCATGAAAATGTGAGGAAGTTGCGGCCTTCGAACGACTTTGCCAGGATACGGTACTCGATCGTAGATCCCATGCACAAGGACACTGCGCGGATCTTGAATGGTAATCAAGGCACTCTGCAATCCACGGAGTGGGTCATCCATGAACATGTCCGTGGCGCATCCCTTTTGTCGTTGGTGATATGGGCTGGACTCTGACGGAACAAGCTCACCGAGATGATTCGGGTCCTCCTGAGGCCCGAGGTGGAACTTGCCCGGTGTATGAATCAAGTAACGAAAGGAATCCATATCCTCGTCGTCATCCTTGGCCAGAAGGCTCCACTCGGGATGATCCATGGTCAAAGCTTGTTGCGGTCGAAATACGGAACCGCTGCTAGTGGCATACCGAAACGTTCCACATTCGCGCCAGGGTATTCGCTGGTAGGGTATAACATCAATCTCTTGACCATTGATCCCATACAAGCAGTCGGCGAGCATTTCTAATCTCGTCAATACCGATCTCATCTTCAGCTTGTTGACCACAAACGTAGCCGCTCGATATCGAAGTATCATTTTCTGGACCACGTAGAGCAACTGTTGACGTCGCACCACCACCGCAACGATTTTTTCAGCTACCTTTATACGATCCGCGTCGTCAAATGATGATAATTGTTGCTGTTGCTGCTGCAATGATGCACTATTGCTCAGCTCGTGCTCTTGTCGTTGATATTCTTCTTGCAGCGTTTGAACAATGATCGCACAATTCCGTAATAGCATTTCTTGTTTTTGATTGCTCTTCCACGCGTCTAACCTGGCCAATACAAACGCCTGTCCCATTTCTTCCAATCGCGGTCCCCACGTATTCCGTCGACACTTTTGGCATTTTCGTCGATGACTGCGAAAGACGTGTCCCGCATGTGAGACTTCGGTTTCCAATTGTACCTGCTGCAATTGCGGATACACGGATTGGGGGTAGAACTCGTACAGTTGCGGTGCGGCAAAAAAGAGCATGGGCAAAGACGATTGGTGTTGTTCCAACGATGATGATGGTTGTTGTTGTCGTCGTTTGATGCTGGGAGATGGATCGACCGTCAAGTCAAACGGCGTGAGAGTCTCGTGGAGGAACTGCGCAAAGGGGTAGTGCGCATTGACATGGGCCGACAAACAAAAGCTGCGCACTTCGTGTGGTTCCACGACACTGTTATTGTTGCTGTTATTGTTGTTGTTCGACTCCCCACCGGACCAGTGGTAATCAATCATTTGCTTTTGTTCCCAACAGACATCGGCCACGGATGGATGATTCGTAGTATTGGCTGCTCCTAGTAGTGGCTCGATGTCGTCTTGGTCATCGTCATGTCGCGGTTGTGGTTGATGCGGCGACACGAATCCTCTCGCCGGGATACAGGGAATGACACTGCTGTACTTGTATCGGACACAAAAGGGTGCACACGGCAAGGGTCCTTCTTCGTCGTACAAGTCTTGCATCCATCCCGGATCAGCGTATCGCTGCGCATTGATGGTTTCAAATGCCGTGGCAATGAGACTTCCCAGTGGCCGTACTCCAAACGTCACGACGGCCGATTGTCCCGCCGGTAGAAATCCTTCCGATGGAAAGACGACAAAACAATCGGGTCGTGCCACGGAAATGCGAAAGACAACGGGTCGAACAAAATCGGGATTGGTGACGACCACTTGATGCCATGTGTGATGGGCCGTTTCGTGTGCTGGTTTGGCAAATTCGTGGGTATGGTTGTTGTTATTGTTGTTTTGTCGCTGATGATGATGATGATGACGGGTGCTTTGTTCCCAATCTTGTTGGAGACTGCGTTCTTGATACAAATGGTAGAGTTCTTGTTGTCCAAAGTGTGTGGAGAGTGGTTCCTCCGAAACGTTGAAGAATAAGAGATCCGTGAGTGGAGTCAAGCAAGCAGGAGAAGATGATGATGATGGTTGTCGTGGTGGAGCCGCCGTGTACTGTTGTGTGT